AAATGTACACTTAGTATATACTTTTTAGTGACATTTTTGATGGCTTAATTTTCAGAGGATGTGTTAAATACATTTTTGTACATGATTTATTAACCAAAATCAATTAAACAATGGATATGAAGAATGTAGATAAAGGGAGGAATGTATTATTAGAAAATTATTTGAACAAGATGAAGACAAATGTAACATGTACATGTATCTAGAATTAATAATCAATTATCAATCATCAAATTAATAATCATGAATGTCAATCTCTGATAAAAAAAAAAAAAAAAAAAAAGATAATCTTAGTCAGGTTATGATGCCGATGTTTTTCAGCAGATATGTCCGTGATGTCAGGGGAAAAAAATCACTGTGTCATTTGCAGCTATCTCGTATTCAAAACAAAAGTTACTACTTCTTAGTTTTCAATATCTATGCATCATTAATCATCACGATTGGCGTTTAGATCTTAAGGTGTACACTTCTTGTAACAACTTCTTATAAAAATCATTAAATAAATATCTTATGAGATATGAACAATTATTGAAACGATAAAGACATATTGTATTTGCCATTTAAAAAACCTTAATATTCAAAACTTATACATACATACATGTATATATATATATATATATATATATATATATATATATATATATATATATATATATATATATATATATATATAATCATTTAGAAATTCTTCTATCGAGCCAATCCAAAAAAATTTTTCAGTCCCCTACCGGTGAAACCGGAGGGGACTATAGGTTTCCTCTGAGTCTGTCCGTCTGTCTGTCCCTCTGTCTGTCTGTCAGTCTGTCCCACTTGATTTTCCGCACTTTTTTCCTAAACGCTTGCAGATATTGAGCTGATTTTTGGTATGTGAGTGTATCTTGATGAGTTACAGATCAAGTTTGCATTTCGTTCCGCTTCATTGATTTTTGACGGAATTACGGCCTTTTCAATTTTTTCGGGTTTTCCGCAATTTTCTTCTAAAAGCTTGTAGATATTGAGCTGATTTTTGGTATGTGGCTTTACCTTGATTAGTTGCAGATCAAGTTTGCATTTCGTCCCGCTTCATTAATTTTTGACGGAATTATGACATTTTCAATTCTTAACGGGAACGGAACCAGATTACACTTGCCGGTAGGGGACTAGTATTGCTAATGCAATACTCTCAGAATGCTTGTTTTCAAACAGGACTTAATTAACAATTGCATATTTAAAAGTCAAATTAATTACAAAGCCCATCTCTGCTGCTCAGTTTGGAATGTACCTGCTAAACACACTTATAATTGTTTTTTTTTTTTTAAGGAAATCAATTGGAATTCGACCTAAGCGACCGACTTACTAGTATTTATTAACTACAAAATGCTCACTCATCGTACTAGACGTATAATTCGCAGAGATTCTGAAGCAATCAGAGTTTCGGATAGATATATAATGAGCTCCAAATTGGACTATAAAACAGCATTTCAAATCAGAGTTCAAGGAGGCATTTTTTTGTTACGGGAAGCAACTGTTTGAGGCTACAGATATTTATTTTGTATTAGCTGAAACTCGCCTGAAGTTTGTAGATAACATAAATAGAAATTCGAACTTAAACCTTAGAAATCCAATATGCCGAGTGTTATCTCTTGTGTACACAGTAATTCTAATTTTGAAATTGTATGAATATTTAATAAGCTATTGTTTCTGATTAATTATCGGAAAGTGACGTTTTGAAACACTGGCTTTTTATTAAAATGGCAACTGAGCCCCCGTGATCTAAACAGGATTGCTGAAAACTCGTGCATTTTGAATCAAGTTAACTTAATTCAACACGACTGAGATAATAGCTTAGAAATTAAGAATTAATTCTGCTGCTCTTTTTATAATACAAAACGCGATTTTTTTTTGTTTCTCACATTGGTCGCTTAAATAAAAATCAAAATTGTAAATATATTCAATGTTCTTGATTTAATATCTACAACAAGGCAATTTCACAACTATATCAATGACAAGGAATTTGAAAGTCCACACTGGTTGGTTCGCTTCAAGAAGTTTTTACCTCAAAGTATTTTTTTTTACGTATACCTATACTTGTATATCATGTACACTATACTAACTTACTGCCCTTCAAATTAAAGATATAGTTTTCATTAAAAAAATTTAATTTGCATATTTCATTCATTAAAATTATGTAATTTCAAATTCAATTTGGAGGAAACAAAATTCGGAAAATATTTCGTTAGAACAATGAGAATTTTGACGTCACAATAGCAATTATGACGTCACGGTGCTTTAGTTTATTGGAAACGAATGTCGGAATAGCGTTGTCATCTAGTCTGCAAGACTTTGTGCTTGAATGAATAATGAATATCCACAATCAGGTGAGTAGCAACTTTGAACAAACATTAATTAGGAACATATGTGCATATAATTATATATATATATATATATATATATATATATATATATATATATATATATATTTATACCTAATGCTTTTCTCTCTCCCAATTTTGAAAATAAATAATCTGCTTATGTATGGTATATATTAGTAGTGTCTAGTAACAACTTAACATGATAGGCAAATTATTTCATTATTTAACTACTAAACTTTTAGAGAAACAGCTATTTGTTGTTGTCGGATTGAAAGTGTGTTATGAAGTAAAAAAAAATGTTATATGTAGACATCTAACTAGAATCCATGCAGTTAATTGTCAAAAGTACATAAAATGTACGCTATAAAGGATTTTTATATCCGCCAAAGTCATTAGAATTAGTTGCTGCGGTTAAAAGTGGGATTTTTACGATGTTTTACAACTATAAAAGTCTATTTACACAGGAGCAAACTTAAACAACGTCTAAGTGATATAAATATGCTACTTCTTTTATCAATAATTATGTTTTCAAAAAGGAAAATACTTTTGCAACGTCACAATGACAACTGTGACGTCAATAAGATCGACATTGGGAAGGAATAACTGATTCCGTTAATGGTCAGCGTTTGAAACAATATAAATCCTGTACAACCATGTTTAAGCTTTTTAGTTATTTGTAGAAGATCAGTTTAATTTGACATTTGTATTATATTATGTACGATAAAGATGTACGTATGAGATATACGTGTCAGTAGTAGATATATTGTTTTAATGCAACAATTCTTTGGATTATTCTATTCACTATAAACGCGCGATTGATTGATTGATTGATTGTATGTTGTTTAACGTCCCTCTCGAGAATTTTTCTCTCATTTGGAGTCGCCACCACTTGCCGGTGGAGAGCTGCAAATTTTGTCCTATATTCGGCACTTACGGCCATTGAGCAGTGAAGGATCTTTTTCGTGCCAGCACCTACTGCGACAAGGGACCTCGGTTTATACGGTCTCATCCGAAGGACCGGTCTCCACGTCCCACAGTGGGATTCGAACTCGCGACGTAAGGATCAACTCCTTACTTCGCGACTCTATAGCAGACGCTCTAACCACTGCGCCACGCGGGCGACTATAAACTAAATTCAAATCTTTAACCCCATATGAATTCTGTACAGTTTATAACACGAAGTTGAAAATCTTGCTTCGTATATTTCAAAAAATGGCATCAACCAAAATATCTTCAAGATACTAAAATGTCGGCTAATTTACGTCTGAGTGATTGAAATTATAAATTTCAAAATTCTTTAACAAATCCTCATTAAACTTACTTTGTCAGAAAAAGTTTTCATTTAATGGTTCAAACTGTTTACTGATCAGTCTTGATTTTATAGAGTGAAGTCTTGGATTTTGGAGAGCACCCCGTGACCAGTGTGGTAGGTGTACTTAGCTTCTTACGAAGGGTGATCAAAAAGTTCGCGAACTATCTCTATATTTACAAAACCACAATTCAATTTCTTTTTGATTCCACACAGTATATTATGCATCATAGCCAATATCATATAGATTGTACGGTAAATTTTTAGGAGGCCAAATTGGCAATATTGGCATTCAACTATAACTGGGCGGATGTGGTGGAACAAGAAGAGAAGATAAAGGTAGACTTGTACATCATTATAATAAACATATTTTATTTGACTAAGTAAATATTATTTAAATTCTGCTCAATTAATGAGATATGACATAGATTCCTGGCAAAAAAAATCATGTGCATATTAAAAGCTTTCTTATGCAATATGCAATTAAGCTAAATAAAAAATAACAAATAAAATATAAAAATGCAATAAAATTATATGTATATATTTTCTCCCCCCCCCCTCTCTCTCTCTCATTAAATCATAGATATGTTCGTGAATTTCAGAACAATAAAGACATCTCTGGACCCCATGAGCGTCTACCTCAGACAAAGGTCAAAGATACTGCTGATATAGCAGTAGATTCCTCAACATCGGAACTGGACAATTCTAAGGTTAAAAAAATTGTAAATACATATACGTGTAAACTTTAGAAATAATACTTATTTTGACATTTTAAGTCTTCAATAAACATTCTTATCATAGTATAACCGTTTATGCTAATCGGTTCTTTGTTTTAACTTGTCTTTATATACCCACATTTCCTTTAAAGGAAGAAAGTAAAAGCTTGTATGACCCCAACATATCAAATGAAGCCAACGACTTCAAGGACACAGTAAACACCAACATCTGTCCAAAACAAAGAGATTGTCACTTACTGCAGTTGGCAGAAAAAGAAATTCAAAATGCTGAAACCTACCAAAGCTGTAATGCATCCCCCGAGAAATCGGATGAATCGCCCCAAATGGACAATTCTGTGATAAAGAGCATGCAGAGACTAGTACATATTGTTGAAGCTAAATCTGGAATTGTAATAGGAGAGATCCACGCGCAGTACATGTATCTTCCTCCTGAATCGGACGCAGACGATAGACCAACAATAAAATCAACTGAAACAAAAAGTGGTACCACCATATCGCAAGAGTCACAGGTTAGATAATGCTGGAAATTGATTTGAATCTTTGGAACATGTAAAATGATTTAGCGGGATAAAATGTGTTTCTTAATTAACCTCTCTGTGTTTAATTACAGGGCCTAGATGTCTTGGAAAATTCGAAAATATCGGATGGAAAAACTGCTAAATGCAGCAACGGTAATCGAACAATGTAAGGATATGAACTTTACGATGTGGCATGCAGTTTTTATTTCATACAACTCAACTGTTTGTATTGTTGAATTTCAAATGAATACGGTTGATTTATGTTACAGGAAAAAACTTAATAATGGAATGGAGATAATGGATACAGAGATAACCCTTCTGTCAACGGAGGTAAGAAAATTTAAAAAAGCTACGTGTAATTTAGTCAATCTTTCGTTTCTTCGTTGTCCATAGGGGGCAATACTTTCCCATTGGATACTTTAAAATATGAGAGCAGACACATATAATTGGGGCAATTTTTTGGTTGTTTTTGTGCCGTTTTATTTATTTATTTAATTATTTACATGTATTTATTTATTTATTTACACTGTATTTATTTATCTTTGTTTTGTTTTGTTTAATATTTTGTGCGTGTTTTGATAAATTTATTTAAGCCACAACAAAAACATTTCTTTCCAATAAATAACATCAGCATTATTATTGTATTATATATAAGATTTTCTTGACATGTATGTTTTTTTTTTTTTTTTGTATCAGATGATTCAGGGATCAAGGTCTGAAAGTGACGCAGCGAACGATTATTTCACGAGACACCCTCTCATGCGCCTTTTTCTTTGTGGAACATGTTGTTGCTCAGTGAGTACAAGTCTCCAAAATCTTAAAATATCATTTGTTTAAGAATGGCCTATCTATAAATGAATATTACTTTTGAAATGTTTCATTAATGTATTTTTTTTTCAGAAAAAATCAAAAACGAAAGATACTGAGAAAGTTGGACTGTTGCAGAGAATTCGGAAATTTTTTTGCAGTAATTACATGTAGATGGATTTATACCTGACTGTTTCATGTTTCTGAAAATAAGAAGCTAATCTGTGATTTATTCATTACAGTATAGTGAATTAAACCTTATTTTTATATCTGCATTTTGTTGTTCATTTAGCTGGTTCAATTGACTGGATGTACGGAAAGTTGAATGATTACACGCGTTTATTGTCATGACTTTTAGTAGAGAATTTAAAAACGTTGTCGATTTAATATATTATAATATGAACTATTTTAATTCTTTTAAAATGAAAAAGAGAACTCAGTGGTACACAGAATAATACCCTCTGCTCCCATATCAGTATAAAGTGCATTTCTTAATTAGCAAGTAAGTAAATAAGATTCTCTCAAAGTTCCGTTGGTTTAGGAAGAGATGCATTAACAAAATGGATACCCCCTTTATCGAGTATAAAGGCAAAGTCCACGTTTTGCTATGAGAAACCATAAAAATCTTTCCAAACGAAGCGTAAAGTAGGAGGTGCAAAATTGTTACTACTTAATAAAGAGTCTGTGAAATTTCTTAAATGGCATTCAGTGAGACAACTACCCTAAAATATATCAAGAAAGGCAAAGTCCATATTTTGGTATGGGAAACCCCAAATATCTGTCTAATCAAAACGTAAAACAGAAGATGCACAATGCTGCCGTGTAATAAAGATTCTGTGAAAGTTTCACTAAATTTACTTTCAATGGTGTAAAAGGAGTTGCGGATAATAGATGGCTACCATGAAGAACGGACGTAGTACTGACGGAGATCTCCATCACTATATACATGTACCTACAACTTTTCAAGTGAGTGTATAAATATAACCCTAAATAAAGTGGGTATTGTGCAGCAAACAATACAAATATACACTGAACAAAACTTCGAACTAGTCAGTTATATCATTTGCAAAACAAAATATGAGATCAATTTGATTTTTTTAAAATGGTTTACTAAAACGAGCTTTCAAGACCATCTACTTCTAAAGAAGTTCATTGATAATTTTGTAGTAATATTAAGCCAACTGATTTTTCCAAGAAATCTAAAAATTGATAAAAATAACAACGTTCAAAAGTGACAAAAGGGAATCATCTTGAAAAAAAAAAGTGGGTTACTTGACGTTTTTGGCAGGCAATTGTAAAAATTCTGAATTTTATTCTTTTTTATTAAAATTTTAAGACAAAAAATTACCTATTCTAACAAATAGAACTCGTTTAATTTTATATAAAAACAGATTATCCCTGAAATAAAATGAAATGTTCCTCCGTCAGATCAAGATGTTTGAAAACGCAGATCCATTTTTTAAAAATGTGAAATCCATTGATCAAAAGGCCCGCACCTGCAAAAAATGTTTTAGACAAAGTCACGTTTGACCAAATTCCTTGCTGTTGTTTATTAGTCCCCTACCGGTGAAACCGGAGGGGACTATAGGTTTCCTCTGAGTCTGTCCGTCCGTCCGTCTGTCTGTCTGTCTGTCCCACTTGGTTTTCCGCACTTTTTTCCTAAACGCTTGCAGATATTGAGCTAATTTTTGGTATGTGAGTGTATCTTGATGAGTTACAGATCAAGTTTGCATTTCATTCCGCTTCATTGATCTTTGAAGAAATTACGACCTCTTCAATTTTTAAGGGTTTTCCGCAATTTTTTTTTAAACGCTTGCAGATATTGAGCTGATTTTTGGTATGTGACATTATCTTGATGAGTTATAGATCAAGTTTGCGTTTCGTTCTGCTTCATTGATTTTTGACGAAATTATGGCATTTTTCATTTTTTATGGGAACCAGATTACACTTGCCGGTAGGGAACTAGTATTGCTAATGCAATACTCTCAGAAAGCTTGTTTTTATAAGGATATTTTTTGTATTTTTTTAGCACAAATTACTTCAGAAGTAAATATCACTCATTTTCTTTATTAATAATCGTAGAATTTATCACAAATTCTATAGTGACAATTTGGAAGTTTTATTGAGTATTGTAAAAAAAAAATTAAAAAAAAAATTATACTCATTCGTTTCCTTATAGGAATTTCTAGCATTAGAGTCCTGTTATATTTACTATATATAGTACCAGTTTGCAAAAAAAAAATGTATTACACAAGTATAGCTTTTTCAAAAAGTTTTTCCGTCTTTAGTAATAACCTTAAACAGTAAACTGACATACACCTATCAGGCCGTGTTAGTTTTGAGCAGTCCTTTTTATTTCTCCATCAGCATTTTACAGACATAAGCCCAGCCATCGATTGCAACTTTTTGGGCCTTTCCGACAAGCGGAAAAACACAATTTTTTTCCGAGCTTGCTTTAAGGAGGATCTCTACACCTATGAAGTATAAATGATTTTTGTTTCATGCATTTGTTTCTAATAATAGACTCAATATCCAATGAAATAAAGCTCCAAAGTACTTAACTTTATTTTTTGGAAATATTTAAAATATTTAATTTATTTTGTAGAAAACCCTTGATTCTTTATTTTTAAATGCCTTATGTTTTAATTTTCTATTTTAAGTTTAATTTTATAAAATCTTGAAATGAAAACCAGCAAAGTTATAAATGAAATCTACATGATTTTTATTTGAATTTACAATAATAGACAAAAGAAAAACTAAAACAGCATTTTCATGAGAAGAACTGGTCGGATTTCCAAAATCTGAAAATAAATATAATATCAAAGGGCTAAAAAGATGAAAAAAAAGAAATTGAATGAAATTGAAAAAATGACGAAAATTTTAACCATCACAAAAATTTAGGGTCAAAGATCCGTTTAGAGAGTGGGCTCAAATATTTTGGGCTCAAATATATTTAATCTAATTCTTCTAAAACTTGCACAGGTATTGAAAAAAGGAATTAATAGGTAAATGCCAAACTAGGACCTCGAAAGAAGTTCGTATTGTATTGTTTTTGAATGAATTTAAGCGAAGACCCATACGTTTCTAGTCAAAACATGTAATGGGAATTCATAGTATTGAGAAAGATATATTTACTTACCGTTTTCATCCTGTATTATCCTGTGCTACGGATGACACGACACGTAAATGGTCAAAAGCGGGTTAAAGAAATTCGTATAACGAAATTCCTACTTTGTTTCAAATTTGCACGTTTTCGATACAAAACAACTGATAATCGATGTTTATCAAACGTTTGAGTTAATATAATATTATCGAAGCGTTTTGGTGATTTCACGAAAAGGTTTCAATTTCACCAGGTATAATCACACATGCAGGGTGTATACTTGTTGGGAACCGGGTCTCTCCTCTAGGCGATGGGAAGGTGATACATATGCTTTATTTGTTAAAATTTTCATTTTTGGATATTTTTCGCTGGAAAGCATATATGCTTTTAGAGAGAAGCATCAATTTAGGACTTTATGGGAACATATCAGTGGGTTTGACACGCAATGATCAAATATCATGGTGACAAGGCTTTGGTTTATCATATTAACCTTTTATTACTTATAATCATATTTTATTTTAATAAATTATATTGTTTATGAATAAGAAAGTTGAAACTGAATATATTGACAAACAATTCATGTTTAATGAAAGGCTATATTAGCCACTCTCGTCGCCTCGATGGGATAGTCTTAGATTCCATTCAAAATAGAGCTAGTATACATCTCGCAAGTTGTGTTATACCCGGTGATTTGTCGGTGTTCTGTGAATTTGTTTAGGACAGAATCAGTTCATTTCGGACCAAAATGGCGTTTCAAAGGAAAGTACGCCATGTTGTGACGTTGTAGAGAGCCCCCTTAAGGTATGTCACTCGTCAGCCTTTTAGAAAATTTCAGTCAGAACCGCATTCTTAAAAACTATTAATTACAATTCAATCTTTATAACAAATTTAATCTAAACAATGTAAAATGTTCAACATTCAATTAAAAAACTGCTCAAAAATTCACAAAGAAGCAAGATTTATAAGGGACTATTTCTTGTGGCGGAAGGATATTTAGCAGAAAATTCTGCAAATCTACACATTTATTTAATTTAATATCTTGGAACTTTAGCCTCACATACTTTTACTCAGAGAATATTTTCCGTTATCATATGCCTGGAATATTAAATATAGGTCTCAGTTTATATTTTTATAACAAAATTTACACCTTCACACAACAAACATTGCCAAGAAATGAAGATATATTAAGGAAGTCGAGATAAAATTTACACAGTTTTTTGCCTGAAAATCGAATATTTTGACCAATATTTCAAAATTTACATCACTGTCCCCAACTTTTTCTTTCATTATTTTAAACTACTCGATACTTTTGACCGATCAGCACTTAAGTCGTAAAAAGTTTGATGCAAGAAAATATTCTTTTGCCTATTTAGATTTTTAATATCCCAAATATGAGACTTTTTTAGTGCAAAAAGGTCACACAATAATTTACGCGCATTAATTTGCATGATTTGTTCAATGATAAATATTATTCAAACTATTTTACGTAAAATAAGATTATGTTTATTGCCATGGTTACATCTTATAAAATATGATAACGGTTAAAGTGATTAACCAAAGAGTTACAATTTAAGTGCAAAAAGGTCAACTTAATTGTACCGTTGCTCAGTTAGATGCACACTGACCCCCCATTTTCTCTGCGATTTTGAGTCATACTATATGAGTACTTATCCAAAATATACTTCTCAAAAAATCCTTGATATAACAAATTTCACGAGTGACATACCTTAAGGCCCGAGAAGATGCGATTTACCCAACCATGTACATGTTGACCCGGACCACTATTAGCTTACATATAGACATATATAGTAAAAACACGTGGTTTATTTAGTTTGTAATATTTTTATAAAGGAGTATTCAATAAAAAACAAGTCGGCATGTGCTTAAACAATCTGTCCAGTACACATACATAACAAGAAAGGGGGGGGGGGTGTTCATAGGAATTTTCTTCTGTATTAATAAATTTGAGACGTCATGCTCTTTAAATAGCTATGGGCGATGAAAAGAAGTGTAAACAAGCCAAATCACTACCCAATTCAATACTCATCTAAGTGCATAGTTTATGCTTTAAAACCATGTTATTGCATATCATTGTAAACTTAAATCAATAAACAACCATTCTATGTTAATTAAATTTCATTTATTTGCCATTTTTCCTTCCTGTAGTCAATGAAAATAAGACATGTTAATTTCCTACATGCACTATATTTAAAGTGGTTGACCTTCACCCTTTTATTGTGGACCGGGTCCTATGTGGCAACGTAAAAAGAACAACACAAATTTTAATGTTTGCATGCAAAAAAGAGCAATCCTATTTACCATGAATATAAAGATAGACTTTTAATTAATTGCTATGAAAATTTCAAAAGTGTCATTTTCATTTATTGCAATTTTCTTTTGTTCGTTTTGTCGATTTTTTCAAGAATGAAAATCTTGAAAAATTGTTAAGTCGTACGGAAATTAGATCACCAGAAAATTATCTCCCTTGCCATAAACAACATTTCAACCTTTGAAATGAAAAATTTCACATCTTGCATTTTCTACCAATCACAAAAGAGAGGAAGTGCACTGTCCGAAGACTATAAAAAAAACTTCAAATCTGTATACCGTTTTCCAAGAAGACGGCAATCACTCTCTACCATCGGCTCATGCATTCACCTCTGTCGTTGGCTCGCGTATATCACAGTGATAAGCACGAGAAATGGTGCGTTTCTTTTAATTAATTATAATTAAATGCTTGAGCTAATGGTAGTCCTTAATGATAGATATTTACTAAATAGATCTAAAACTATTAGTTTGATTTGAAATAATCCTTGAAATGTTATGTTTTTTACGTTATGTCAAAAATCTTGACGCGAGCCCATTGCAGAGGTGTCTGAGAGAGGAACGAACGACAACTCTGCATAGGAGATTGGACGGCAATGAGTTCCCCGAATTAAAGCTTTGTATTCATTAATTAATCAAATATTTAACTCTCATTCCCGATTCTTTATTTATCGGCACCTTTCATCAATGTTAACAGTTCCAAACAGCCCTATATGACATTGGACTAACAGTTTAAAAAATCGCATCCCAACTTTGACCTTGATGTTAATAGCATCGAAGGTAACAAGATTTTGTCCCTATATTCAAAATAAGCATTTTGAAATAACGATTTTTAAAGAAATATATAAAGGCCCATAAATCATACAGTTTTTTGAATTATATTATATTGAGAATTCTCCTACGCTCCCTTGTTTAAATGATGTAAAATACAAAGAAAAACTTTGATTGACCTTTCCGACAGACTGGAAACAAATGGCTCGTCACAATTTTTTTTTTTAATTTTTTAAACCTCCAAAAAACGTGTTTTTTTAAAAATTCATTTTGAATTTTTTTTTCATCTAGAGTCGGGAAAGGGCAAAGAAACATTTTTAAGGATGGCCTAGAATTATTTATTATAATATTATATATTTCCAACATTCCATTAACATTAAATCGTGCTAGGTTTCTTTCTTACAGAGTTACTCCCCTTTTGAAAATTAAAAATAACTGCACACTTAGAGAATGGGACTTTTAAATAGGATTTATACTATGCGTCGTAAGATTAGTAATGCAGAGATTAACTGCCACCTTTCTTAATGCATTATTTATAATTAAGTGATCACTTTTAATATTGGATGAATAGACAAAGAACACCTGTGATTTGTGAAGATGACGACCTCTGAAAGTGGTAAATAACATATTTTCTTTGATTTCTGGTTTATAAAATATTTTGTCTAGTTTAAAGGGAGATTAAGTGTATGGCTGTTTCATGGTAAATCGTTTATATGAATTATTATGAAAATTCTATTTCTTTTAATATTATACGAAAATGAAAATTATATACGAATTAAATTGCCTGATTATAACTTTTCCATTAAAGATCATTTTTTGAGAAAACCATTCACCTACTGTTAAATAAAACTTTGTTTATTATTGCCGTATATCGTATACATTGACTAACATGTAACACTAAATCTGTTACACAGACAAAGCAGATTAGGCGCTAAAAACCTTCATAATCTTAAAAACACCACTTTTTTATTACTTGCCATTTAAACTCGAACGACATCTTAAGTACATTTACCTTGTTCACACTTACATACATGTACTCTTTTCCTGATGTTCTCCAAAATAGTTTTTTTTCTCAACTTTTGCAACTCCTTTGAGGAATTGATGCGAACAGCATTATACTTAACCTTATATTTGCCTAATTTACTAAAACTAGAAAGAACTTTATAAGTATCAAGCTTACGCCAACAAATTTTTTTTTTAAAATTTCTGTAATTCTATTCATAATTTTAAAAAAAATGCAATTTCGTGACATACGATAGAGTTGAGTATCTTTTCACCGATTTTATTTTTTAGAAAATCTATTAAATGAAAAAGAAAATTTCGTTTTGAGCATACATATTTATCTACATGTACAATCAATTCTAACTACCACCACACAAAAGAAATCGAACCAGAAACCAGTTTGAAATTCCCAAGCTCTGAAAAATTATAAAATTCATTTTAAAATATTTTAAATATTTTCAAAAAGAAATTCCTTTTCAATACCTTTATCACAATAGAAAATTAACAAAATATGAAATAAAACTTACAAGAGAACTTGAACCTAAAAAAAAAAGTTCATGGAAAGTGGTTCAATTAAGTGCCTAGTAAATAACATGTGAACAGTAAATAACATCATTGTATTGCTTTCCTTTTTCAAAGGTTTAGACAAGTACATCTTAGTTGGAATTATTGTTGGATCAACAATGTTGGTGATTTGCACGTGGCTGATTACCGATTTCTGTTTATATCATCGGGAAAAAGCGAAGCACAAGGAAAAGAAATCCGCAAAATTCTACACAAAGAAACCGAAACGATTACAAATGCACCATGTCTCAATGCAAGTACCATTACCTGTCCAAAATACTGCTGCCCCTGAAGCATCAACAGACAAAGATTACTCAACAGCGAAATCACCCAGAACAACGTCACCAGTTCAAGCGCCATTATCTCCAACAGGCAATACCCTCTCTCCGATACAAAACAAGTTGAAGAAGAAGCTCAAAAAAGAAAAGGCAATGGGCAGTTCCCCCAGAAACGTGCATAAAAAATCTTCCAATGAAAAGGGTTCATTCAGACTTTCTGAGGATGAAGAGTCAGATTTTTACTCAGTGATTAACGATGAAAAGGCTACAGATGACTGAAGACTTCCAACAGAAATCAAATCAGAGCAGCAAAACTCTTAAAATCCTTAATTCTTTGTTTATCTGTTCCTTTTTTTTTTGATTTCGAAGATAGAGTGTATTCTGCTGATCTGCTATGGCGATTGTTACGTGTTATTGTTGCAAAGGGATGTGTGTTATTGTTGTAAAAGGATACGTGTTATTGTTGCAAAAGGATATGTTATGGTCCAAAACTTAGTTCTCATCCTGTCCTACACACACACACACACACACACCCACCCTCACACACACACACACCCTCTCTCACACGAAAGAGAGAGAGAGGAGGGGGTTCACAGATGTGATAGTAAAGAAATTTATGTGCAAGATTTGTCCAAGATCTGTGCACAAGACAGTTTTAAAACTATTTTCAGAAAACACGTGACAGTAAAAATAACTTAATAAATAATACATTGTAACAATCAACAATATTGACTTGGTCCTATGTCTATTGCTATGAACTTTAATAACGTATACTTAATCTCGTATTTTTCAATGATATATCCCAGTAACAGTAAATTCTGTTCATAAAGGTATAATTGATTAAATGTCGTTCAATTATGTCATTATGTTAATCGACTTATAATGTTGTATTGAATATTTTTAGTCTGTGATATAGTTTTCGTTCCCCTGATTTGACAAATGTGTTTCTTGTCTATAATTGTACGCTATCTCTGTTTTGGTCACGATGACAAATAATTATAGTGGGGAGACGACTTATAAGATGCCAGCTAATTTAGGTAAGCATGGCCATCCGTTCATCCTATATTACAAGAGTTTAACTTATAACTACATGGAACTAAAGCTTAACTTAAGGGAAAACTGTATCTTGTAAATATACCTAGTCTAGCATTAATTAAAAAAAGTTCACTGTCAGAATTTGAAATGGTTAAGTGCTGTAAAATCAACGCAAAAATATGTCTTAGAACCCATATGAATTAGATGCATTCAGAAAAATGACTTTGGCATGCAAAATGTGCAAACATATGGTAAAAAAGAATGAAAATTCTCAGAAAAATCATGACTGATATGCATAGTGAGAATTAATTTTATAACGTTAATTTTATCAACTAACAAAAAATACTGCATTTTTAAATGGAAAATAGTAAATTTTGAAAGATAGTAGATCGATTGGTTGTACATTTATATTATTTAAAGTTCTTTTTGAGAAATTTTCCCTCATGTAGAGACGTCACCGTATGCTCGTATGCCTGTGAAGGACTTCAAATTTAGACCTTTACTCGGCACACAAGGCCAATGAGCAGTGAGAGTTCTTATTAATAATCGTACCAACGCCTACTGTAACACGGGACCTCGGGATTTACGGTCTCAAACGAAAGACCCGAGGGGTCATTTCTCATGCCGGGCGCTTATCAATGGAACGATCACTACCTATATTTACGTCTTAGGGGTTTGAACGGCAAACGAGAATCGAACCCTGGCCTCCTGATTGATAGTAGATTGATAAATAAAACTTATATTCAAATACTTTTTCTTGTGTATGATTTGCAATATTTTATGTGCTAGACTAGGCTTTTCCAAAAATGTTTGGGGACCTGAACATATACCGAGGACATGAATTTAAAAAAATGTTAAAGGGCTAAGTGTTAATTATAATAATGCATATAGTTTTCTGTAGACAGGACCCTAATTTTTACATATATAATTTCTGTAAAGGGTTTAGTGCTCATTGTAATCATATAATCATTTTTCTAAAGAGAAGGAGGTGTAATGTGTTTATATAACCAACTTAGTCCCACCTTTGAGTTTCAATACAAAGTCTTGGGGAGGTGGTTAACTGCTCACTGAAACCAAAACTTTTTGCTAGATGTCAAAGGGTAAAAACTAGTATTTCAAATTTTATTATATTACCAGCTTAGTCCTACCCTGAAATCAGGACATAGACTGTGAGTATATTAAGTAAAATGAAAATATTCTTGCAATGATTTAACCATAAAAACCAATTAAGAGAATAACTATTTACAATATAAAGCACATTTGCAGGGTCACCATGATAATACTTCTATGAGTATACAACGAGATAGTAACAGTCTAAACGTGAAGTTGTATGAAACTTTTTCAACAAATTTTATATTTACCATTTTTTAAAAAGCAAAATATAGGACTTGTTGATACCTTAGACTAAGAAATGTATTTTTTGACAACTTCTTCCAATAAAATCTACAATAACAACCTGTACATACAATATTAGGATTTGGGGGGTAAATGTTAAGTGTTACACGGACCCTAAATGTCTGTTGAAAGGATTGGCAAAATATTGCCATGTTTCAGAGGTTTCAGTTGCCAGGTTATAAATAATACAGTATGTTTTTCTTACTGAAAAGCAGATCGGTTTTTAAAAATAGATAACTCTCCATCACTGTGGCATGGTGTTAAAAATGTTTTTATATCACGTTTACAGACATGAGCTCTAGAACCACTTCCATAGTGTATTTCTTAGTTCCATTTTATAATGATCCATTTCCATACTTAATGACTCGATTTAATGTATTTTTTTTCTATTATTAGTTAATATTTAATACATCTACATTCATAAATCCATAAACAAAGATTATCGTAATATGTAGTAAGTGTTCCGGGGCCCATTCATTTTTCATTTATTGACGGAATGCAATTAACATGGTTTTCTCTATGAAGACATTGCTATGGCCATCAATAATAAATGTTCTTACTTCGTGTGAAATTTTCTTTTGGTAAATCTGGCCTAACTTGAGAATGGACGGCATTAGTTTTCTTCACGTTGGTGTGACTGTAAAAGATAAATGGATTTTATATTCATAATTCAGATGCAAGGTAAAAATCATATTTGAAACTACATGTACATGTGTCTCACAATTGCTAGAGTTTTGTAAGATTTTTTTTAAGTGTGGTATATTTTAATGCTTATCTAATTCGGTATATATAGTACTCTCTTAAAATTAAATTAATTAATATTTTTAAAGTCTTTATTGTATACACCAGAATTGACAGAATTTAAGTAACGTAATAAAAAAAGGTAAAATGTATAATCATTCAGATTTACCCGAATTAAAAAAAATTAAATCTAATTATATCCATTTACTTAAATACTTAATCCATGAAATGTGAAGAAAACGACCAGTAATCATGCTAAAACTTCCAATTAAACAAAACAAATTGAGAGCAGAGCAAATATGGACACCTGAAAACATCGGAGGTGGAATCAGATGCCATGGAGAAGGAAGTAACCCCTGTCGATCGGTCACACCGGCAGTGAGCCCTTTTTTTCTTTATCGGGTAAACGTATCAATCCAAAAACAATTCATCATGAAAATAGTGACCTTACACTTTGTTTTAAAAAGTTCAGCCAACATTCGACCTAACGACAGGTTTTATTTGCAAAGAAGGTCATTCTATCGACCATAGAATTTGCAGAATGTTGACTTTTTGATACCTTTGTATTATCAACTTACTTGTCAGTAGCCTGCCTTGGTTTATTGCATATCGAATGAACTGGGAGACATAAACCCCATATTCAGGTAATTATCGTATATTGTTGTATATAAAATAGGGAAAGTTAACGATAGAAAAGTTGAAGTCATCATAAAGTTTAGTTGTGAGTTTGCCATCAATGTCCTTCTCTAGTAAAAGTCCAAATACGAAACAAATTTATAAGACTCTTTTGTGTCTTTAATTCTTAGTTCAGTGGGATAAATCGAATCAACGTATGAATGAAAATAAATATTGTTCATTGATAAAACGTCGTCTGTATATCTACTCGTAAATGTCGAAATGAAGGTCACGCAAGATACGTCTTTTCCTGTAGCAATTGTAAATAAATTTTGCTTCATAACAAAGGAGTAGAAAAGCATGTCTGCTAATATGGGGGCACAATTAGTACTCATGGAACTTCTAACAGATTATTTGAAGACCTGGTCGCCAAAGACCGTGGATGGATATAAACAATGAGGAACTCACGCATTTTTTTATATCAACTTCGCAGTACTTTTGCACATAATCTTTTAGAAAGTAGGTTTGCAGATGACCAATCACAAGATATCGTAAGTCCCAATCTTTTATAAGAGAAGCAGTTGTTAAAAATGTTAAAAATTCTAGTCTTAAACTAATCACGGAGAAGGGATGTATAAAATGTTGACAAGTATTATGTTTTGATCTGTTGATTTAAGTAAAATTTGGTGATTTCAAATTTTATAAAAGTTCTTTGGAGCTTTTAGTATTCACATTTGATTAAACACCATTATCGAATATATTGTCGCACATCAATTGTCAAAAATTGTGAAAAGAATCAAAGCAAAAATTGTACTTAACAACGATTATGTAAAGATGTATACATTACCTTTTAGGTCTAGAGAAGTATCAGCTTGTTCTTCTGATCGTGGGGTCCACTGTTTGTGTGGTAGCTACATGGCTGATAGTGGACTTCTGTTTATATCACCGTGAAAGAAAAGCAAGAAGAGATAAAAACAAGAAAGACACTTGGCATCAACACCAAACTAAAACACGCCTGCTAATTCCTTTTACTAAGAAATCAACACTGAGCACATCTTCCATTCCTGCAGCTGAACCTCAAACTAATGGTCAAACAAGTTTCCAGAAGTTTCTTAGTTTCTTCAACATTAAAAAGAATGAAGAAAACCAGAATAACGCAAAACAATTAGAGAAAAGATCGCAAAGCTTTAACGACGCTAATCTAAAAGAGAAAAAATTTATTTCGCCGAAGAGCCGACGCTTTACCGAAATGTTTTCCAATAAAGTTTCTAATCTGAACATTGAATCCGATTCCAAAACAACGACAAAAAAGGAAGAAAATAGGAAAATACCAAAAGATACAGAATGGAAGCAAGGTTCGCCTGACAGAGAAAATCTTCAAAGTGCTGATAGTGGGCATTTTTCTGAAGGTAGAAGAGGAGGCGAAACAAAATGGAAGACTGAATTTTCTGAAACAGATGAAGCGGTGAAAGATGACATTGGGTTTAGTGATGTTGAAGAAGTGGGCATATCAAGATCAAAGAAGAAATCAAAAAAGAAGAAAGAGGGGAACTCCAAAAAGACATTTTCTCTTTTACATCACAGATACATTTAAAAAAGAAATGATGCTTATTTTGATATTGTTGATGGTAGATTGATTTGACAGCAAAAGTCATCTTTGATGATTTTCAACTACTTCTGAATTAGATTTTTTTTACTGGTGATATTTGCAGTTAATCACTCATTGAAAATCTAAATGTATGAAATAAGATGTGAATTATTGTCAAAATTTATTTCTAAAACATTTATTTGTAATTCAGATGAAAGTAGTTGATTTTCTGTAAGGTTCTTTTCGCCTGATTGTCAGAAAATTGCACCTAACAATTCTCCATTTTACAGGTACATGTAAGAGGGTGATTGTCGGATTAAGATGCGTCTACATATTATATAATCTTCTGTTTAACTATAATGAACTTTTTTTTACTTATCACTGCATTTTAGTTGGTAGTTTTTTTTACTCCAATTAAATGACATCTCTTGCATTTTTTGTTACCAACAATCAAAAAATTAACGTACAATTTCATTGAAGTACTGTTTCAGCGGAATTGTTTACTTCAAACGTTGGAAATTGTCTCTTTTATAACCATAGTCAACTTTAAGTGCCAAAATGGAGATGGCAAAACAAAAGCAGAATTCTTTGTCACATTACAAACTATATCTAATACAGAATATTATGGTATACAACACAAGGAAGAAGCTTAATTTCAAGGCAGCTTATGTTTATTGCATTAAGTTTAATCACAATAATCATATATAATTTTATTATTTCTTGAAAGCCGATGTGTTTTATGATTATTTGCGTTCAGCCATGTTCAAACATGATGATGATGGTGGTGATTGTTATTGGTAATTTAATTTGCATTGTATATCGTCTTATTTTAGTTTTATCATATAAACTAGATCATACAAAATGTGAATTTTAGATTTTACGAATTAGAATGAAAATCTATCTTATTTTTTTTTATTTATCAGTTTCTTTGATTTGACATATTATCTGCAAATTTTGTAAATGTTGCACCTTGACAAATGGTCAGAAACCACACGTTTGGCAAAATTCTTGTAGCAGAGGTTAATATTTAAGAAATAAATTTCAACTGACACTGTGTCTTAAAGAAGTTTTAACAATTGGTATTGGGTATTTATTATTGTACGATCGTACAGTGCTACTTAAAGCGAAAGATATTGACCTATACACTTTGACATAATTGGTTTCTTTTATTGTTTCTCTTCTTACGTGTGTGGCATGAAAAATGCAGGATATTTATTGATGGCTAGAGTAACAATCATGTTATTGGCCTTGTTTGTACCCATGGGAATGCAATGCACCAATTTTCCCAGTTTTTCAGTATTATCTAATAGTTTAAATGAAGCTTATTCAAAGAAGTATGAAAATTTAATTTGAACAGTGATGTTTTTAGAATAACAGTTACGTACATGTATTTATTGTGTTTATCATGATAAGACACATTTTAAAGCAAGTTTTGCTCTTAAATGTTAACAAAGAAGTATGTTTACACCTTCTCAACATTTTAATAAAAGAAGTAGCGCAGAAAATGTACATTAAAATCAAAAATCATGAAGAAAGAAAAAAAAACTTTTCACTTAATATTGCTTTTTCCCAAAAATATTCTATTTAACAAATTATTATTTTACAATAAAAAATTAATAAAATTATAGATACTTTTGCTCAAGTAGAATAGATTGCACATACTTATAAACTTTTATATTCCATAAACCTTTGGAACAATAATTTGTCTATGGTCTCAAAGTAAATTATTTTAAAGAAATTATCTTAAGTTCATTAAATACTGAACATGACATGAAAATGACAGGAATTTAAATAGAGATCATGCATTTTCGCCACATCATATCTGTGCAAAAATGGTTACATTTGCTAAATGACCCAGTTGAATTTGCAGTCAATCACAATAAATGGATAGAAATGACCAAGAATCTATTTTTTCAGTTTTAATAAGTCACTAATTCAAAGTTATTTATATTAGCTAATTAGCAATTTTTTTTTCTTGAAAAAACGTACGTGGATGTAGTTTCAGTTTCACATATTGTATATGCATGCAATCTAAAAGTTTTGATATTCATAGTAATAAACATATTGTATAAAACCTTTTTGTTTTAACAATAAAATACCTATCAATGTTTAGTCAAAAGAAAAAGGAACATTTCCCTTTGTTTTTCTTTGCAAAGATGGGTCAATTTAAACAGTTAAATTTTGTCAAACTTTAAAATCTGTAGAAAAAAATGTTATGCATCTTTTCCGTTCTTTGATAACAGAGAGCAACAATTATGTATGATAATTAAAATTAATTTTGACAAAACCTGATTAAAATTAAAGACATATATAATAATAAATATACCTTATATGTTTTAAGAGATGGTCATTGAAGACATGTGATCTCACAGTCTTTTCTGCTAATAAAAAAGTAGAATTCAAATTCATAAATGGAAGACCCCTGTACATTTCCCGAAACTTAAAACTAAAGAATAAAGTATGTATGAAGATATTGAAGAATGATAAAGTTCAAATTCCAATTAAACAGTGAAAAATGAGAGCAGGGCAAACAAACCCCTGAAAACACAAGAGGTGGGATCAGATGCCATGGAGGTGTAAGTATCCCCTGTTCACCGAAATCGATGGAATAACGATTTGTATTAAAACAGCATTAAACAGGGTCATTAAACACCACTAAATTTGCCAAATGACTTTTAAACGAGATTGTAGATACCCTTGTAAAATTAATTTAGAAATTAATCGTACGGATGAATCGTGCTCTTTATGGAAGACAAGCAACACAGGAAGGTGATAATGGTGATATTTCTACATTAATAAGGAAAGCTGACGACGGAGATGTTTTAAATTAACCCGTTTATCAAAAATGCAAAAGATAAGTTGTTAGTTTGCTATCGATGTCTATCTCTTACAAAATATGTATGTGTCAAACTTTGTAGTGCCTTTTATTTCTAGTCCAGTGGGATATATCAAATCAACTTATGAATAAAAAAGACTATTTATTGTTGACAAATTAGTTGATAAATCTTAATGTCGAATTGAAGGCCACAGCTTCTTTCACATAGAATCATTGTGCTTAAATGATTTGATTTTTTTATTACTTATTACAAAATTTGTATCTTTTCACGCACTAAATCTATTGAATGAAATATGAAGACATCGAACAGTAATCGTGCTTAAAAGTCTAATGAAACGATATAAACAGTGAGATGAGCAAACCTGAACCTCTGAAAACATCAGAACAGATAGGGATCAGGTGCCATGGAGAAGTAAGCATCCTCTGTCGACTAAAAGTCCCGACACGAGCCATTTTTATGCCCCCGTAATCGAAGATTCGGGGGCATATAGTTTTTGCCCTGTCCGTCCGTCTGTCAGTCTGTCTGTCTGTCTGTTTGTCCGCAAAAACTTTAACCTTGCCCATAACTTTTGATTGGTTGAAGCTATGGCTTTCATATTTCTCATGTGAATTTCTTGTGACAAAATCTGTCTTTGGCTACCATCATATTTGACATTTTGACCTTGACCTTGGAGTTTGACCCACTTTTGCAAACTTTTTTGAGACTTTGACCTTGGTCATAACTTTTAAACAGTTGGAGCTTGGGCTTTCAAACTTCACATGTGTATTTCTTATGACTAGACCTTTCTTTGGATACGAACATCTTTGACCCTATGACCTTGACCTTGGAGTTTGACCTACTGTTGAAAAAACTTTAACCTTGGCCATAACTTTTATATACTTTGTGCTAGGTCTTTTATACTTCGCATGTGTATTCCTTGTGACAAGACCTTTCTTTGGATACCAACAACTTTGACCTTTTGACCTTGACCTTGGAGTTTGACCTGCTTCAATTTTGAAAAATTTTAACCTTGGTCATAACTTTTGAACAGTAAGTGATAGAGCTATCATACTTCATATCTGTGATTCTTGTGACAAGACCTTTCTTTGGATACCATGAATTTTGACCCTTTGACCTTGACTTTGGAGTTTGACCTACTTTTGAAAAACTTTAACCTTGGCCATTACTTTTGAACAGTTGGTGTTAGGTCTTTCATACTTCACATATGCCTTCCTTGTGACAAGACCTTTCTTTGGATACCATCAACTTTGACCCTTTGACCTTGACCTTGGAGTTTGACCTACTTTTGAAAAACCTTAATCTTGGCCATAACTTTTGAACAGTTGTTGTTAGGGCTTTCATACTTCATATGTATATTCCTTGTGACAAGACCTTCTTTTGGATAGCAGCAATTTTGGTATTGACCTTGACCTTGGAGTTTGACCTAATTTTAAAAAAATTAAACCTTGGCCATTACATTTTCACAAACGTTTGGTACTAGGGCTTTCTTATTTCACGATCATGTGTATCACTTGTGACAAGACCTTCCCTTGGGCCCCATTTGACCTTGATATTGCCGTTTTACCTACTTTGAAGAAAACTTTAACCTTCGCCATAACTTTTCAATGGTTTGTACTATGGCTTCCATATTTCACAGGTGTATTCCTCAAGACAAAACTTTTCTTTGGGTACCAACTTTTTTGATTTCTTGACCTGGAGTTTGACTTGCATTTGAGAAACTTTACCCTTCGCTATAAGCTGCCATACGGGGGCATCAGTGTTTCACAAACACATCTTGTTTCATGAAAGGATTAAAAGTAGAAATCTGTAGTCAATTCAGTATGAAAATAATGACCTGACAATTTGTATGTCAGTCAACATTCGACGTAACAACAGATTGTATTGCGAACAAGGTCATTATATTGACCATAGAATTTGCAAATTCAGACTTAAAGTGAGATTGCAGAAAACCTTGTATCCTATATTTGTTTGTCAGTATCCTGCCTAGCTTTAGAAATTGTTTGCACGAAGAACATACTTTTGCGTACCGAATTAATTTGGAGATATAAACCCCATAAACAGGTGATAATGGTATATTGCTACAAACAGAAAGGAAGTTGACGATAGAAGAGTTGAAGTCATCATGTTTATCATAAAGTTAAGTCGCTACTTTGCCATAAACAACTTTCTCTAGTAATATATCTAAATATGAAGCAGGGGTGTATCTTATTTCAAGTTCAATGGGATATATCGAATCAATCTATGAATGAAAATTATGATGTAGCGATTCTAAATGAACATAATTGCTTACGATTTGATTTTTATTGAATTTTTATTGAATGAACATTGAGATTAAATGCAGAAACATTCATGTCTTTTTCTCTTTTTGAGGGGAAAGAAGTTTGCTTTTGATCCCAATAGTATTTCGATTTGTAAAAAGAGTATTCATTTGTCATTAATTTTGGGCTAGAAAAGCCTTCTAGATGATATTTGATTGAAGCCATTTTTCAAATAAAAATAAATTTTCTGAATTATTAACAAAACAGAAATGCAAGTGTGTCCATGCCCCTTTAACACCGCTTTTTCGAAAACTGTAAGTGAATTATTCCGCTGGGTCATAATTTAGCAGATTCACAATATATTACCAGTCCACGCTAAGAAAATTACGCAGAATGGCGGAAGAGAGTATGTTTAAAGTATATTGCAGCACAGTAATACTAAAGTTTCTTCTTAAGTGCAGGATACATGCAAAAGACTTGGTAAAATGTAAAATTTTAATGAAATTTTTGAATCCGTCATAATAATGATAATTCAATTTCCAATTTGCTTGTGGCTATTTATTAAAAAAAAAGGTACAACTGAAAAAAAGAGTTTTCAAAGAACCTCTTCCATAGAAAGGGAACTGCAAGAATAAAGCTGAGTTCCTTTAAAATACATTTGTAATAACGAGCCTTACAAAGAAAGATGGTGTTGTTGCATGCTTTTAAAACATCTAGATCCAGTACATGCTAACCATTTTATCTATATAATTTTTTTTCTCTCTTCTGAATAACTGTAGACAGAAGGATAAATGGTACGTACTTTCACAATCAACAGAAGGTGGTTTCAATATCCGTTTTTTTTTTCGTTTATTCAATTTGAAAAAGTTTCAAGGATTTCATATTTGGTCCACCGTCTAGTATAATCTTCGACAGAATAATATAATACTAGTAGTTATGAAATGTAGAAAATTTTTGAACGGGGTCCCTAGCTTTTGAACCCTTTAAAATGAGTGATTTTTTTCCTCATCATATGATTATTACCTGTACAGGATAGAAATGTAGGAGTTGTCAAGCTTTTATCAGATTGCCTGATAATGTCAAAATTCATTTAAAGGTGCATAGACACAGATTTGAAGTTTATATTTTCTCAAATTTTCTGTATAATATATATCACAACTTATATGTTGCTATAGAATTTCACACGAATATAAAATTAAAAACTTATTTAATCTGGAAATTATTGAAAATACGAATTTCGGGAGGAGTTTGATTAACACATCCTTGCACTTTCACAATTTTTAACTTTATCCTTAATACTTAAGAAAATTAGCAATTTTGTTGTGTATTAATGAATAATATTACATCTATAATCCAGAAAATTCAGAGTAAAAATGTGCGAAAGCAAAACCCACTCACTTAAGTATTGTCAGTCCGTGCTCAGTGTTGTGTAGTTGTGTACAGAGTTTAACAAATTGAATACACCCGTGTAACTTAAACTGTTTTTGTAAACAGGGCACGAGCTCTGTTGTTGTTAATGTTTAGGTTTCACCGGGTGTGTTCAATTGTTAAACTCTGCACACATCACTGAGCACGGACTGACAATACTGGTGAGAGGATTTTGCTTTCTACATTTCTACTCTGAAATCTCTGCATTATAGTTTTAAAATTTTTCATTAATAAACAACAAAATTGCTACTTTTCTAAAGTAATAAGGATAAAGTTAAAATTTGTGAAAGTGCAAAGGTTTGTCTATCAAACGCGTCCAGAAATTCGAAGTTTCAATAACTTCCAGATAAAATAAGATTTCTATCAAATTTTTGTATGAAATGCTATAGCAACATATAAGTCATGAAATTTTACAGAAAATTTGAGTAAATATTAACTTCAAATCTGTGTCTAAGCACCTTTAATATCAAGATAGACATTAAAATATAAGAGTTGTCGAACTTCCTTCATGCCTGATATCTTCTAGCGATCGATGTATTTATGTATGTATTATATACAAGTAAAACATCAATCACTATTGATGAAAAAACAGGAGCTGCAGTACAGAGATATATTTTTATATGATTCTAATAGTTCAGTATAATATAATTCAAACTTCAGTTCTTTTAAATATGATGAATAATTACAAAGTGAAGGTTACATCTCAAGCGTAGATGTATCTTTGTGTTGGGAATTTGATTATTTGGGGTTTTGTTTGTTTGTTTTGGATCATATCTTAAGTTTTGGATCATATCTTAAGCTTAAATGGTTGCAAATGTTTTTAAAAATCTCTTGTATGCACGTGATATGGATGAAATCAGAAGCTATTTGAAGGTTAGCTGTAACTAGATTCTACTCATGATGTGATATGTCTTTCCTGGTCAGATGCATCGAAAACTTTGAAATTTAAATGTCCTCCGAGGATGAAAACATCCATAGAATCCTTCTAGTGTTTCGCTGAAAGGTATCAAATTGTTGGTATGTAGACCGTTACATCATAATTACATCAGCTTTTAATTATTCACGACTTTTGATTATTTCATAGTCACATTGTGTATTTTGTGTAATTTCCATTGCAGAAACCATGCAGGGGACGTGATATATTTCAGAATGCTGAGACAGAACAGCTTCAGGGGATATTGCGCTGTAATGATTTATATATCATCAGTAAGCAATTGAAGAAATAAGCAGCTGATGAAATTTTGAAAAAAAAAATTATGAAGACAATGCACATACATGTACATGTAGACATAAACCAAAAAAGAAAAAGGCCTCAGCTCCTTCAGTGTTTCTCCAGTTAAAATTTAAAGCAGATTTTTCACTTTTCTTTTCGGTAGTTCGGTCGGTAGAGCACTTGCTCCATGATCGGAAGGTCGTGAGTTCGAATCTCGGCCTCGACTGACCAAAGTTAATAGAAAATAGGTAGCAACTGTTCCTTCACCAAGCGCTCGGCACGTTGAAGTAAGTTGAGGGTCCTTTGGAAGAGACCTTAAACCGAGGCCCCGTGTCACGGCATGCGTTGGCACGATAAAGATCCCTCAATACTCAATGGCCCTGAGTGTCAAGTAAAGGTCTAAATTTGAAACCCTTCGCCGGTATATGGTGACGTCTCTATATGAGTGAAAAATTCTCAAATGGGACGGTAAAACAATATACAATCAATCAATTTTTTTCTTCATTCTTTTGAAATTAGAAACAGACTTTCATAAAAAAAAAAATGCCGTCATGAATTTGCAAATCGTTCAGTGTTTATTTACATATGTAAGTTTACATATATTGTACTTAGAATATATAATAGATCTCTACTTCTCACCAAGATTTTGGTTCCTGGAAAAAGAAGTAATTCTTTTTAATTTAAATATTATTTGAAATATTTCATGAGATCTGTTTTTGAACCTTTAGTTCATAATTGGTTTAAAGAAACACAAATTGAATAAATTGTAATTGATTGGATATGTATAAATATACTTTACAGGGCTGAGTTGCACATTTTCATTAAATAAAAATTATAATTGGAAGAAAATTTGTCGAAGCACCGAAGAAACACAATAAAGACTGTGCGTAGAGCAGTGGAAAAAATGACAATGATTTGATATCTAAATTGTGGTTGAAGATTATTGGTGCATTCAGAAAACTCTGACTAAAGATATCTTCCTATTTCTTATACATCATTATTTAACTGTCACAGTATTTCTTGAAAATAATATATCATAGAAAGAAAACCAAAGGAGGGCCCGGATTTTGACCGAAAAAAAAAACTATTAAAATTTATTGCAGAGCTAGAATACATTTAACACTAATTGTAAACATTAGCAAACAATAAATCACTTTTGTCTCAAATGTTACGAAAAAAGTGAGCAAAATAACGCAAAGTTTGATGAACACAAATGTAAAGCAGCGAAACGTGACAGACAGCGACAAGGGCGATAGATTGTTGATTAATCAATAAAGTTTTATGACTTCATTTGCTCATTTATAGTCTCTTAGTAGAACCCTCTGTTAGAAAGAATATTGAGAATTTTTCACCCAATGAAGAGCCCTTATTGAAGAAAGAAAGAAACATAGCAGCATTGGTGTCAGAGAGAGAGGAAAAATACTGCCATTATACATGATCGTACTCTCTAAAAAAAGCAATTGCAATTTGATGAATAAAAGTATGTTAATGGATTACCATAACTCTTAATTAGGATTTAGTGGAGCATTATATATGCATCTAGGAAGACTTGAAGTTTTTTTTTGGTTAAGTTCCGTTTCTTGAATATCAGCCATAAAACCTAAACATGCATTCCAGAATATAAAATAACACATCTATCGTTACTTAATTATGGGGTTGCATGTAATTTGCCACCATAAATCAATTATACATTAGTATGCCCTGGTCCATTGCAGAAGCCACAATCAAAGATTGACCGCACTAGCTTTTGCCTCTGTCAATTATTAGCGATAAATTTCATTAGCTTGGTATCAGGTAGAATTCCAGTTCACGGGAATTTCCTATAGCTCGTGATTGTTTCCCGATCCTCAAGTTACTTTCATAGGAAACTTTTGCTTGATTAAGTGAATAAATGGATTACACCAGTGGAACTAAATATGTTCAAGGCAGTAAAGTGGAATAAAGACCCTTTTATATCGCGTAGGCTCGATCAGAATCTATAAATTTGCAAGAGTCTAATCGTATTCTTTCAAAAGGAGGAAATACAACAGTTACATAAATGGTGAGTAAAATTTTAACTTTGAAGTATTCATTTTTAGAACAAGAATTTGGATTTTAAACGTGATTATTTTGTTTTGTCTCCTTTAACTCACTTTTATTGAGATTGGATTGTAATTTGATTTGTTTCAAATATTCTAGTATATAAATAACAAACTATGAGGCTATTTATACATTATCCATGTACAGGAGAAGTAAATGCTCGATTTATGAATTTATGATTTCTTATAATTGGAGTATTAATAAAATTAAGATGTGTTGTGAAACACTAATGTCCCCGTATAGCAGGTCTTCGCCAAGGTTATTCAAGGTTAAAGTCTCACAAAAGTAGGCCAAAGTCCAAGGTCAATGTTATGAGGTAAAAAATGTTGGTACCCAAATAACGGAATAACGGACTTGTCACGAGAAATACAGATGTGAAATTTTAAAAAAGTATAGCACAAACAGTTCAAAAGTGATGACCATGGTTAACGCGTTTCAAAAGAAAGTCAAACTCCAATGTCAAGGTCATGGGGTAAACAATGTTGGTACCCAAATAACGGACTTGTAACAAGAAAAAAGCATGTAAAATATGAAAACTCTAGTTCCAAGAGTTCAGAAGTGATTATTATGGTTATAGTCTTTCAAAAGAAGATCAAACTTCCGAGTTCATGAGTCATAAATGTTGGTACCCAAAGAAAGGTCTTGTCACAAAAAATACATTTGCGAAATATGAAATCATAGCACCAAACGTTTGAAGTTATAGCCAAGGTAAATGTTTTTCAAAGGTAGGTCAAACTCAAAGGTCAAGGTCATAATGTCAAAAATGTTGGCACCCCCCCCCCCCCTTCGGTTCTTGACACAATAATAAATATTTAAAATACATACATAAAAGCCCTTGCACCAAACCTTCAAAAGTTATGGCCAAGGTGACAGTTTTTGCGGACAAACAGATAGACCAAAAATTACATGTATATACCCTCGAATATCCGATTATGAGGGCATAAAAAATGCATGTTAAGAAGAAGAATAAGAAATGAAGTTTCCAAATGACCTCTTTATTAAAATTGTTTCCCTTGGAAGGAGACTTTGATACCTTCATGAACCTTACTGTATGACTGTACACAGTACTCGTATCATTGCATTTCCCTTTCAATATATTTCCAACTAAGGTCGTGGAACGAGACTAGAAATCTGTTGAGACTTACCCTACGAAGCGCTTAGCATCTTAATCATTGTATTCTGAGAGACGCGGTCTTCTGTCTTTCGTAGATTTCATGGTAATATACACTCTTTACGCAGACGAAGCTTTAATTGAGAAACGTAATCACTTGTTTTTGTTAAGATGATTGACATCTGAAATCAGTAATTTTTTTAAACCTGTAGTAAAGAGACAATTTTCATAACATCTGTGAAACAATTTATTCGAGAAATTCGAATATGATAAAATAAGGATAATTTAAAAACTCCAAAAGCTCTTTTAGAAATCACAAAATTTTTACTAAATTCAATAGCATAAAAAACCTGTGTGACTTTTAACACTTTACACAACCATTCCTCAAAATAAATTTAAGACCAGCAGGCTTTTGAGATCATAGATAATTTGATTTTTTTTTAATTAAGGAGAGAACTTGTAAATTTTCCTGTTTTGTTAATGTCATCAACAAAATTACAATTTACTTTGTTAAAAATCATTCTAATTCTACACACAGATACTCTGGAGTTGATATTAAAAAGATGTTTGAGTTCCTCATTGACAATATTTATGAAGACTTTGGAGACCACGTCTTCCAACAATTTGTTGTAATTCCCATGGGTAATAATTATGTCCAGTTATTAGAAGACATGTGTTTGTATTCCTATGAAGCAGAATTTATTCAAAAACTTCTACGTGAATAGAAGAATTGTCTTGCGGTGGCCTTCAATTCGACATTGAGATACACTGATGGACGTTTTATTAATTAACAGTATTTATTTTCTTTTTTTCATTCATACGTTGATTCGTAATATCTCATTGAACTCGAAATAAAATACACTACGGAGACTGACCATTTTGTTTCAAATTTGGATATTTTACAAGAGAAAGATAATACTAGTAATGGAAAACTAACAACTTAAAGAAAAACGAAATAGCTTTCATTATTTAACTTTATATCGTCACCTCCCTTATTTATGGAGCAATACACTATTATTACCTTCCTATTGGGATTATATCTCCCAGTTTATTCGATATGTTCTTCGTACATACAATTTCTCAAGCGAGGCAGACTACTGACAAACAAGTTGATGAAGCAAGGGCATCTACAATCTCTTTTAAAGTCAACATTTTGCAAATTCTATGTTCAAAACAATGATCTTGTTTGCAAATATGCCGTCAGGTTAAATGTTGACAGAAGTCTTTCCTACAAATTATTAGCCATTATTCCACTTTCGAAGGATGAAAGTCTACAAAATCTCATTTCTGTCTTTAAAACTGTAAAAATTCGAGTCAACGACCGTGAGGTCGATCTACTCTAACTATACTGGATTCCTAAACTTACAAACAAAGATACATTGCCGATTCCAGCAAATGCTCTACCGATCCCCTTTCTTTACTCCCCACAAAAATACAGTCAATTGCAGTATAGGAGAATTTCAGACTTACTGTGCTACAGCATATATTAGAAGTGGTGTGAATCAAATGTGAATTCTCAAGAACTTTTGAAAATTTAGAATCATATTTTTTTCAAAAGTTAGTAACATCAAAACGTAAAACTTTTCTACATTGAATACAGCCATTACTCGCGATAAATTGAAAACTTGTTTTTATATATATATATATATATATATATATATATATATATATATATATATATATATATATATATATATATATATATATATATATATATATATATATGTATGTATGTATGTATGTATGTCTCCGTTTATTTTCAGTCATGAGAAAGAGCACGCGGCGGATATAACCTCCCTGTCCCTGCTCACAATTAGTATCGTTTCATTGGACTTTTGAGCATGATTTATTTAATGTTCGGTATCTGCATATTTCATTTGAGTAATTTTCTTCTAATGGACAAAAATTTGAAATCTAGGTGGTGTGTGGTATTATTGAGAATTGCTTTAAATTTTGGAATAACGAAGTTTATAAATCAAAATGATCAACCTTAATAAAAGATCTTTTCGCCTTCAACTGATTTTTTTTAAAAAAATCAAAACGTATAGTCGTAAAAAATGTATTTTCCGTCTATAAAAATCGATATTTTAACTATGTTTTAGACAGCAGTTGTGTGAGGTGTATTAAATCATGCTGATGTGTTTTGCAAACTGTCAACATGCACGCAAGATTGTTGGCATGTGCTAGAGTACTATTTTTCTTCTCTTCTTTCATTCCGTTTCGTTAATGTTCCAGGTCAATTGCACTCCATAGAACAATATTATGAATAATTAATGCAAAGGTTTTTTTGCGCTAGATGTCTGGAGTGTTGTCCATCAAATAAACTCTGTTCGGTTTGCTGGATAAAGAATACTGACTCCACCTATTAAAATAAGTTGCAGCCAAGTAATAATTAATTGCTTAACATTATTATTGTACATTTAGAGAAATTATCTCTCTCGAAAACAAAATAACTCTCTGTTAAATAAAGTAACATAAAAATTGAATAATCACTATTTATCATATATACACTGATTGTACATTTAAATATGATGTTATGATGATGATATAAAAATGATTTAAATATCGTTCACTACATTATTAATTGCTAAACTTAAAAAAAAAAGGAATCTCACCTTAACTCAGCCAGTTCAAAGATCACTTCCTTGTGTGGCGCTTTTCGGTCATTTTTTAGCTCTACTGGTCAGAGACCAGAAGAGCTTATGCGATAGTAAGGTGTCCGTCGTCCGTCCGTCTGTCTGTCTGTCTGTCTGTCTGTCCGTCTGTCTGTAAACAATTTTTAAAAACGCTACTCCTCCTACAGTTTTGGTCCGATTTCAATATAACTTGGCACACAAGTAGACTACACTAAGATACATAATTTAGTGCATCGGTTTTTGATTTCGATGGACGGTGTTGTCATGGTTACTAAAAATAGAAATTTCTGTGAAATTCCTTTAAAACGCTACTCCTCCTACAGTTTTGGTCCGATTTCAATATAACTTGGCACACAAGTAGACTACACTAAGATACATAATTAAGTGCATCGGTTTTTGATTTCGATGGACGGTGTTGCCATGGTTTCTAAAAATAGAAATTTCTGTGAAATTTCTTTAAAACGCTACTCCTCCTACAGTTTTGGTCCGATTTCAGTATAACTTGGCACACAAGTAGACTACACTAAGATACATAATTTAGTGCATTGGTTTTTGATTTCGATGGACGGTGTTGCCATGGTTACTAAAAATAGAAATTTCTGTGAAATTCCTTTAAAACGCTACTCCTCCTACAGTTTTGGTCCGATTTCAATATAACTTGGCACACAAGTAGACTACACTAAGATACATAATTTAGTGCATCGGTTTTTGATTTCGATGGACGGTGTTGTCATGGTTACTAAAAATAGAAATTTCTGTGAAATTCCTTTAAAACGCTACTCCTCCTACAGTTTTGGTCCGATTTCAATATAACTTGGCACACAAGTAGACTACACTAAGATACATAATTTAGTGCATCGGTTTTTGATTTCGATGGACGGTGTTGTCATGGTTACTAAAAATAGAAATTTCTGTGAAATTTCTTTAAAACGCTACTCCTCCTACAGTTTTGGTCCGATTTCAATATAACTTGGCACACAAGTAGACTACACTAAGATACATAATTTAGTGCATCGGATTTTGATTTTGATGGACGGTGTTGCCATGGTTACTAAAAATAGGAATTTCTGTGAAATTCCTTTAAAACACTACTCCTGCTACAGTTTTAGTCTGCTTCTAATATAATTAGGCATACAAGAAGACTATACTAAGATACATAATTTATTGCATTGGTTTTTGAATTCGATGAACAGTGTTGCCATGGTTACTTAAAAT